ACAACAACAGAGTGTCATACAACAACAGAGTGTCATACAACAACAGACTGTCATACAACAACAGAGTGTCATACAACATCAGACTGTCATACAACAACAGACTGTCATACAACAACAGTGTCATACAACATCAGACTGTCATACAACAACAGAGTGTCTTCAGTCAGAGGCTTCTTCAGATCTGTTGTAGGACAGAAGCTACAAGAGATCCTTTCTGCCCACAGCATCAGCGTCTATAACATCTCTTTAATGAAACCAGGATGATGAGTTACAACATCATTTAATTTACCTCTGGGATTAATAAAGTAGTTTTGAATTGAATTGAAATTGAAATTTTACAGAAGAGTGAAAAACGTAACTGGGACACTGGACTGAACTGTAATTTTCTGCTAAATAAACTTTGAGGTATGTCAGGGCTGCAGGAATGTGTTGTTGAATATGCAGGGAGGAGACTGAATGAGACTCTGCTCACACGACTGAACTTCATTTAATCTTTCACATGATGCACCAGTACGTGCTGCCTCTAACCGACCTGCTTCAGAAATGTCTGACAGCTGCTGGACATTTCCAAGGCCAAGCTTGAGTTGTTTTTAGAAAAGCAAAAGATAATAATACAAGAATATTTGTGTGGTAGTATGATGTGGTGCAAAGCATGGACAGTAATACAAAGTTTTGTTTTCTCAGTCATCCAGGTATATAACAACAAAAAAGGTTGAATCATGTCATCTGGACTTCGTTTTTTTTTTGTTAAAAAGAAACGTTTCGCCCCTCATCCAAGAGGCTTCGTCAGTCTGAGGCCTAGCCATCTGGTATTACCCAGAAGCCACCCTGACTCTTGTGAAACCATTAGTGAAAAAGCCAGACTTCAGGGGTATCTGAGGCAGGCTTGAAACACAAGAGTCAGGGTGGCTTCTGGGTAATACCAGATGGCTAGGCCTCAGACTGACGAAGCCTCTTGGATGAGGGGCGAAACGTTTCTTTTTAACAAAAAAAAACGAAGTCCAGATGACATGATTCAACCTTTGTTGTTGTTATATACCTGGATGACTGAGAAAACAAACTTTGTGTTTTTGAAACCATTAGTGAAAAGGCCAGACCTCAGGGGTATCTGAGGCAGGCTTGAAACACAAGAGTCAGGGTGGCTTCTGGGTAATACCAGATGGCTAGGCCTCAGACTGACGAAGCCTCTTGGATGAGGGGCGAAACGTTTCTTTTTAACAAAAAAAAAACGAAGTCCAGATGACATGATTCAACCTTTTTTGTTCATGGACAGTAATGGTTTTAAAAATACTTGGAACAACAAAATAGGCCAGGTTGTGTTTTACTTGTTCCTCACTCCTTTATGAAGCACCTCAGCATTACATGTGAACTCAACAAATCAGTCAGAGGACGTGAGGTTGGCTGTTGTGCACTGACAAAGATTTTGTTCTAGTTTTGCAAAAAGATGTGTTTGTCTGTTTTAACTTTGTTTCAGTTGTCATACATTCTTTGTTTTGATTGATGTATGACATGTTTAATATATAATTCATAATATACCTAAATCTCTTTCTTTTGTTCTCAGCAGTCTGAGGCTAAATTAGAGGCAGATACAGAGAAGAGCCAAAGCCGTTACAATCTGCGCCGCAGGAAGGATGCGAAAGTAGCTGAAGCTAAAGCAGAACAGCAAGAGGAAAAAGATGGAAAGGTCCTAGCAGCTGCTGCAGCCTCCTCCTCCACCCCTCTTGATTTTGGAGGGAAACTTGGTGAGTTAAAAGAAACAGAATGTAGTTTCTTGTGTTCATACTGGTTATAGCTGGGGTGGGAGTTTAAGCCATTGGAGAGAAGAAGAAGAAGAGAATCAGAATAAACTTTATTGGAAATGCACCGAGGGACAACGCGAATATGTACAAACCGGATTCCCAAAAAGTTGGGACACTAAACAAATTGTGAATAAAAACTGAATGCAATGATGTGGAGATGGCAAAAGTCAATATTTTATTCATAATATAACATAGATGACAGATCAAAAGTTTAATCTGAGTAAATGTAACATTTTAAAGGAAAAATATGTTGATTCAAAATTTCACAGTGTCAACAAATCCCGAAAAAGTTGGGACAAGTAGCAATAAGTGGCTGGAAAAAGGAAATTGAGCATATAACGAACAGCTGGAAGACCAATTAACACTAATTAGGTCAAGTGACAACATGATTGGGTATAAAAAGAGCTTCTCAGAGTGTCTGTGTCTCTCAGAAGCCAAGATGGTAAGAGGATCACCAATTCTACCATTGTTGCACAGAAAGATAGTGCAGCAATACCAGAATGGTGTTACCCAGCGTAAAATAGCAAAGACTTTTAAGTTATCATCATCAACCGTGCATAACATCATCAAAAGATTCAGAGAATCTGGAACAATCGCTGTGCGTAAGGGTCAAGGCTGTAAAACTCTACTGGATGCTCGTGATCTCCGGGCCCTTAAACGTCACTGCACCTCAAACAGGAATGCCACTGTCAAGGAAATAACAGAATGGGCTCAGGAATACTTTCAGAAAGCATTGTCAGTGAACACAATCCACCGTGCCATCCGTCGTTGCCAGCTGAAACTCTACAGTGCAAAGAGGAAGCCATTTCTAAGCAAGCTCCACAAGCTCAGACGTTTGCACTGGGCCAGGGGTCATTTAAAATGGAGTGTGGCAAAATGGAAGACTGTTCTGTGGTCAGATGAGTCACCATTTGAAGTTCTTTATGGAACACTGGGACGCCATGTCATCCGGACCAGAGAGGACAAGGATAGCCCAAGTTGTTATCAACGCTCCGTTCAGAAGCCTGCATCACTGATGGTATGGGGTTGCATGAGCGCTTGTGGCATGGGCAGCTTGCATGTCTGGAAAGGCACCATTAATGCAGAGAACTATGTTCAGGTTCTAGAACAACATATGCTCCCATCTAGACGTCATCTCTTTCAGGGAAGACCCTGCATTTTTCAACACGATAATGCCAGACCACATTCTGCAGCAATCACAACATCATGGCTACGTAGGAGAAGGATCTAGGTACTGAAATGGCCAGTCTGCAGTCCAGGTCTTTCACCTATAGAGAACATTTGGCGCCTCATAATGAGGAAGGTGCGACAAAGAAGGCCCAAAACGATTGAACAGTTAAAGGCCTGTATTAGATAGATGAAGCTTTTGTCCTTGGGTACCCATGTCCCAGGAGAAATTGATAGTTGTCTCGTCTCCGAGACCATCGTGAGTCAGATTCAGATAAGCTTGATTCTTGTTTTTCTTCAGGCAGACTGATTACTTTTTTCTTCAGCCATGAGTCCATCTGGGCGTTCTGTTTCCGAAAATGCCTAATTGTGGGATTCCATTCCACTGATCCATGTCTCCTTCAAGGTCGAACCCACCACGCTGACGAGTCCCAGAAGCTGCAGGTGGTCTGCAATTCTCAATCGCCTCCACCTTACGGTTTAGCTCGTAAACCAGATGATTTAAAGTTCCCACATCGATGACCAGACCTTCACACTGACTCTGAAACTTTTCCATGGCCGAAACTGCTCCTGATGTCTTCTTCAAAAGTCGATAAAACAGAGCCCCGCCGATGCCAAAAAGCAGAGTCCCTGCTATCATAAATCCAAATATGTAAACGTCTTCAACATCCTCCTGAGACAGAACTGTGATGCACATCAACTGCCACACTCCCCACGAATCCATGACGTGCCCCACAGCGTGAGTCTCAGCTGGACACACCGGTTCTCCAGGACCTTGTCGCTTTGATGAAAAAATCTTATCAATAGAGTTGAACGCCCACGATACCAAATCCATAATCTTCTTAATTTATGTTCTGGAGATGAGACCCAGGTGCTTCAGACAGACAGAGAGCAGAGCAGGAGGAAGGAAAAATATGGGGGAGGAGAAAACAGAAGCTGCCACCTCGATGAGAGCCTGAGAGGAGGAAAAAAAAAAAGAAGAAGAAAAAAAAGAAGCATGCCAAAGAGAATTTCTGTGTCAATCTAAGTGAGTTAAAATAGAATGTGTCACTATAAAGTTTAAATCTGACGTTTACATTTCCCTACAGCACATTGTTGAAAACTGCACAACACAACCACCTGAGCTTTTGTATTTCCCCTAGATATTTAGGATTAGTAGGACAGCATAGAGGTCAAAGACAAACATTGTGTTAAATGATTTGTCAAACAAAGAAGAAAATAAAAATTGAACAAAAATTAAATAGTTAAAAAATGTTTAAAAAAAAAACAATTGTCGTTCATTCAACCTTCATTTGTGCAGGTTAATCCCATTGAACCTCGGGGGCTCATTTACAAGAGACCTGATTTTAACAAAGAATGATGACAACAGTGGACAATCACAAAAGAGGTGTACAGATTGAGAAGAACAAGTGAAAGAAAATAGCATTAAAATGATACAGAAATAGCTAGATTGTAAAGTGATGTAGAATACTTCAAACAAGGAACATGTCTGCGTTGGATTTTCTCAGGAACTTAACAGATGTTTGAAGCCACTTAGAGAGGTCAAAGGTCGAGAGCTTCAGATCTTTTTGTAAGATATTCCAGGAAACGGGAACGGAGTAGGAGAAGGTCCTTTTGTCTAGTTCAGTCCTCACTGAGTGAACACTGCAGGTAATGATGTCCTGAGAGCGCACGCTGTAGCTGCACTCACGCAGAGACATGTAGGAGGAGATGTATGAAGGCAACAGACCAGGAAGTGATTTAAAGATGAAGATGTACCAGTGGGAGAGTCTGTGTGAAGTTAATGGTGACCAGTTAACCAGTGAATACTGGGTGCAGTGGTGGGTACGATAATCACAGCCAGTTATGAATCTTAGTGCACCATGTAGACAGCATCCAACATCTGCAGCATCCAACATCTGCAGCATCCAACATCTGCAGCATCCAACATCTGCAGCATCCAACATCTGCCGCATCCAACATCTGCAGGGTTCTTGTAGGAGCGTTCATGTAAATAATGTCACCGTGATCAATGGAGGAAAGGAAAGTCACAGATACAAGGTGTTTCCTAACATTCAGAGTTAGACAGGATCTGTTTCTGAAAAAGAAACCCAGTTTAACTTTCAGTTTCTTTACCAAGTTTTCCACATGGAGCTTAAAAGAGAGATGTGAGTCGACCAAGATACCCAAATATTTATAGGAATTAACAAACTCAATAGGAACGCCATTCAAGGATAAAATCGAGGGAAGGTGCCCTTCGAGTTTATCAATTCCTACAAATATTTGGTTATCTTGTCGATAATAGCCAGTGTTACTGAATAAGGCCAACAGGTCTATACGTTGAACAATGTGTATGTTTAATTCAGGGAAGTCAGTGTTCTCATATGAGGCCACAGTGTCTCAGGAAGTTAAATATATTTAAAGTCTTTGTTTTTATATGAACCTCAGTGTTGGTGGAGCTACACTGGATGGAAGGTGCAATCATTTGAGACGTGCACCATGAATCCCTTGCTCAAAACATTTGCTTTACCATCTTCTAATGGTAGTATGCAGGATGACGGAGATATTTTATTTTTTATGTATTTTAGTATTTTCCTAATTTATTGCTTTCATGCTCTGTACAATAGTCCCTCATTTACTGCGGGGGATCAGCCTCTAATGATCCCAGCAGGACTTTTAGAATGAAGTGATTTTATACATGATGTTGCTGGCATGGTACTTTTATAGTATCATTATATTCTGTCATTGTTTACTGTATACTGTACTTCACAAAATACTACAAGTGTTCTAGGTTTTAGTCAGCAGGAAATAAATCCACATTTATGTTGTGTAGCATGCCTCACCGTGGTCTTTCAGAGAAAATGTTTTATTTGTATATCTCTCCAGTAACTGACCCTGTTAAAGCTGCCAACATTCCTGTTCTTGCCCTCTTCCTGCCACAGGAGTAATCTTTTGGCTGCTCTTCCTGCCAGCTTGGGTTCTGTTTCTGATCCTCCAAGTCAACCAGGAGGATCCAAGTCTGACAAACTTCCCTCCTGCTCTGCCTCCACTTGAATCTTTCTGGGATTTCCAAGCATTTGGCTTCATCCTCCTCTGGATTTTTTTTCAGGCTCTGCTTTATGTTTTACCTGTTGGAAAGGTGAGTGACAGGAAATCTGTCCTTTCATTTATAAACACAAGGGTCCAGCTGACAGATGTTCTTAGCAGTGTTTAACGCTGTCTGGATAGCTTTTCGTCTTCGCTCCAAGATCTACGTGAACCAGCACCACTACTATTTGACCTAATGCAGAAATTGGATTAACAGTCAGGACAAACTTTTAATGAGATGCTTCACAGGTGAAAGCTCTTGTGCTAAATTATATGAACAAGACAAAAAAGTTATTTTAGAGCATTTGCTCCAATGCAGTGTTTTCCAAACTTTTCACCTTCTATCCATCCATCCATCGTCTTTACCCGCTTCTTCCTTTTCAGGTTGCAGAGGTCACTGGTGTCCATGTCCAGCAGTCACTGCAAGAGGCGGGGGACATCCTGGACTGGTCTCCAGTCCATCACAGACACATGGAGACAAACAACCATTCACTCTCTCACTCACACCTAGGGACAATTTAGAGTTACTAATCAGCCTAACATGCATGTTTTTGGTCTGTGGGAGGAAACTCACGCATGCACGGAGAGAACATACAAACTCTACCCAGAAAGCCCCCCTGGCCATGATTCCATCCAGCAACCTTCTTGCTGAGAGGCAACAGCTCTACCAACTGAGCCACCGTGCTGCCTTGTTTAAAAAAACAATAGTCATAATTGGATGAAAAGATAATTGTGTTTTTTTTTATTGTCTTTATCACTTCAATATACTCCTTTGAAAAAATGTGTACACTTCAACCAGCCTCTCGCACAATGACTGCTGGCACCAGTGACCCCCGCGACTCGAAAAGGATAAAGCAGGTAGAGATAATGGATGGACGGGTGTTTTTTTTTTTTAAACACTTATTAAAAATTTCCTAATAGAAATCAATTCTAAATTCTATTTGATTTCTGTAAATTATCTGAGGACCTCCTACTTGGTGTTTCGCCACAAACACCTTCATAACCATTGTTCCAAAGTAACTTATTTGTGTCTCTTACGTTCTGCTGTGTTTCTGGTTTGTTTTTAATCCTTTCTGTAGCTGAGTGAAGGCATGCCGCTGAGGTCTGGAGAGAAGCTCAAGTACAGAACTAATGGTGAGACTGAGTCAATCAAACACTGACATAAAACATTTCCCATCACTTTATCTGTCACTATCTTCCATTTTTCACTTTGTCAGGTTTTAATAGCTGCCCACTGCACCACCTGGTGGTGGATGGGTTAAATGCAGAGACTAATTTCGCCATTGTATGGAAACATACAGTGCTGACATTGTGATGACATTATTATTATTATTATTATTTATAAATTTGGATATTTTAAAACAGTTTTTAGATCAAAGTAAAATTCACATTTCTTGTTGCTAGTGTGTCCTATATGTAAAACATTTTTAAAATAGTGTGTGTGCATATACCATATTTTCCGCCCTACACGTCGCATCAGTCCAAATATGTCTAAAAAATGGAAAAAAATCCATAAATATGTCGCTTCACCGTATATGTCGCATCTATTATACGTCGCCGCTGACGTGTCACATTTGTTACGTGTCACCATAGACAACCCGGAAATGTGTGGTATGGTATAAAGTTTATTCATTTTAAAAAAGTACAAAACAATTCCATAACAATATAAAAAGATACAAGAGATTTAAAATGAAAGGCAGCAGAAAGAAGAAAAAATCTTATTATATCTGCCCCTTTTTTCAAACAATTATTTCAATCATAATAATTTTCAAGTAACAGAACAAAATGAATAACTTTCTAATTTTTCTAATTCTAATACAAAACACACACTAAGCTACTTCATATATACTTTTTTAACAATTCAGTTTTGATCTTTTTCTTAAATGTACACATTGACTTGGCATTTTTCACATCACTCTCTAGACCATTCCACAATCCAACTCCTTGGATTGAGGTAGACCTTCCCTTCAGACTAGTTCTGAATTTTGGTTTGACAAATATCTCTATCCCCTTAAGATTATAACAACTTTGTCTTTTTACAAAATTTCTTTGGATATTTAATGGTAATGTGTTATTTTGAGCCCTATACATAACTGATAAAATACTGTAATCTACCAAATCATGGAACTTTAATAAGTTCAGTTGATAAAATAATGTGCTTGATGGGTGACTGTAATGCTTTCTGGTGATAATTCTTACAGCTCTTTTCTGTAAAATAAAAATAGGTTTTGTAAAAGTTTTACACGCTTTCCCCCAAACATCAATGCAATAGATTAAATGTGGAACAATGATTGTGTTATACAACATGTACAAAGCTTTATCATTTAATAATTCCCTGACTTTGTATAGTACTGCAATAGATTTAGATATTTTTGTTCTTACAGAATTGATGTGATTTTTCCATGTTAGCTGTTCATCAATGATTACACCCAAAAATTTCATCTCATTAGCTCTACAAATCTCAACACCCTCAATTTTAAATGGATCATCAACAGTTCTCTTTTTGTTACTAAATATCATGTATTTAGTTTTATCTAAATTTAATGATAACTTATTTAGTTTACACCAAGTTTGTATTTTATCAAATTCTGTCTTCATCAATTCCAACATCCGTTTTACATCTTTACCCAAACAAAAAAGTGTGGTGTCATCTGCAAAAAGGACACATTTGAAGAGTCCTGATACATTCACTAAGTCATTCACATATAAAATAAATAACTTTTGTCCAAGTACAGAGCCTTGAGGAACTCCACAAGTGATATTGCACAGGTCAGATCTTACACCATTTATTTGTACAAACTGTTTCCTATCTTTCAAATAGCTAGATACCCAGTGTAACGCTGGTCCTCTTATACCATATTTATTTAATTTTTCAAGGAGAATAGTGTGATCAATAGTATCAAATGCTTTTTTTAAATCAACAAAAATACTAACACAATACTGTTTTTGATCGACAGCAGTAGTTATTTGTTCTATTATTTCCATGAGAGCCATTCATGTAGAGTTTTTTGCTCTAAACCCATACTGACTACTACTTAGAATGTTTTGTTTAGTAATAAATTTGTCTAATCTGGTCACAAATAGTTTTTCTAGAATTTTTGAGAACTGTGGTAATAAGGATATTGGTCTATAATTATTGAACACACATTTATCACCATTTTTAAAGAGAGGAACTACCTTAGATACTTTCATATTGTCTGGAAATATTCCTTTTGAAAATGATCAATTACAAATATATGTAAACGGCTCGATAACATAACTCACTACAGGTCCTTCTCAAAAAATTAGCATATTGTGATAAAGGTCATTATTTTCCATAATGTAATGATAAAAATGAAACTTTCATATATATCAGATTCATTGCACACCAACTGAAATATTTCAGGTCTTTAATTGTTTTAATACTGATGATTATGGCATACAGCTCATGAAAACCCAAAATGCCTGTCCCAAAAAATTAGCATATTTCATCCCACCAGTGAAAGACAAGTGTTTTTAATACAAAAAACACCAACCTTCAAATAATCATGTTCAGTTATGCACTCAATACTTGGTCGGGAATCCTTTTGCATGAATGACTGCTTCAATGCGGCGTGGCATGGAGGCAATCAGCCTGTGGCACTGCTGAGGTGTTATGGAGGCCCAGGATGCTTCGATAGCGGCCTTAAGCTCATCCAGAGTGTTGGGTCTTGTGTCTCTCAACTTTCTCTTCACAATATCCCACAGGTTCTCTATGGGGTTCAGGTCAGGAGAGTTGGCAGGCCAATTGAGCACAGTAATACCATGGTCAGTAAACCATTTACCAGTGGTTTTGGCACTGTGAGCAGGTGCCAGGTCGTGCTGAAAAATGAAATCTTCATCTCCATAAAGCTTTTCAGCAGATGGAAGCATGAAGTGCTCCAAAATCTCCTGATAGCTGCTGCATTGACCCTGCACTTGATAAAACACCGTGGACCAACACCAGCAGCTGACATGGCACCCCAGTGACTGTGGAAACTTGACACTGGACCTCAAGCAATGTGAATTCTGTGTCTACTCTCTTCCTCCAGACTCTGGGACCTTGATTTCCAAAGGAAATGCAAAATTTACTGTAATCAGAGAACATAACTTTGGACCACTCAGCAGCAGTCCCAGGCGAGATGCTTCTGACGCAGTCTCTTGTTCAAGAGTGGCTTGACCTGGGGAATGCGGCACCTGTAGCCCATTTCCTGCACACGCCTGTGCATGGTGGCTGTGGATGTTTCTACTCCAGACTCAGTCCACTGCTTCCGCAGGTCCCCCAAGGTCTGGAATCGGCCCTTCTCCACAATCCTCCTCAGGGTCCGGTCACCTCTTCTCGTTGTGCAGCGTTTTCTGCCACACTTTTCCCTTCCCACAGACTTCCCACTGAGGTGCCTTGATACAGCACTCTGGGAACAGCCTATTCGTTCAGCAATTTCTTTCTGTGTCTTACTCTCTTGCTTGAGGGTGTCCGTGATGGCCTTCTGGACAGCAGGCAGGTCGGCAGTCTTACCCATGATTGTGGTTTTGAGTAATGAACAAGGCTGGGAGTTTTTAAAAGCCTCAGGAATCTTTTGCAGGTGTTTAGAGTTACGTCGTTGATTCAGATGGTTAGGTTAATAGCTTGTTTAGAGAACCTTTTCATGATATGCTCATTTTTTGAGACAGGCATTTTGGGTTTTCATGAGCTGTATGCCATAATCATCAGTATTAAAACAATTAAAGACCTGAAATATTTCAGTTGGTGTGCAATGAATCTGAAATATATGAAAGTTTCATTTTTATCGTTACAATATGGAAAATAATGACCTTTATCACAATATGCTAATTTTTTGAGAAGGACCTGTATGTCCTTTACAAACATCATATCCATGTCCACCCAGTCTTTTGATCTCTTATCTGTAAGATTTTTTACTACATTCATTATTTCTTCTTTGTCAGTTCCTTTAAGAAAAATACTGTTGTCACAACCTATAACTGAATGGTTCACATTATTGTCTACTTTTGGTATTTTACCTGCAAGGCTTGATCCAACGTTCACAAAATAATGATTAAATCCATTTACAGTTCTATTTCGTATAGGCTTCGCCCTTTAAGGCTGTCGCTGATGGTTTATCCCGATATGCGACGCATTGCACTGAAAAATTTAGTCCACGCCCACCTTCTGTGTGGGCCCCACCCGGTCCGTATAAATTACGTTAAGAGCGGGTAATCGGCTCCCATTTTTTCTTGAGCAAGCTAATAGCACTGTCAGAAGAACGAAGAAGGAAAGTTGTGTAGATGACCAACCTTTGTTAAGAATGCTTGGCCCGTCACATCGACCTCCGGTCGTCCTGGTGAGCTCTCCTCCCCGAAGAGAAGCTGACGAGCAGTCTTGTTTCAAGGTAAGCGCAGAGGAGTATTTCTCAGTGACAGGTCGCTGGACAACGCCATCTTGTAATTTTCCTCTTATCGCCGACCCTCGAAGGGAATCAGATGGTTCCTCCGGGACAGGCGGCGCTCAGCTGCAGCCCCCCATTGCTCATTCCCTCCTGGAGAGCGTAGGGTCGGTGGAGGGGGGCTGAGCGAATGCTCACCTGATCCCACCTTGCTTCGCATCGGCGATCACACTGCTCCCGGCCGACGGCGCCCTCAGGGGTTGCCCGGCGTAACCCAGGAGGCGACTGACATGAAGGGACCCTTTTTACGTCCCGCGCCTTTCCCGCCAGTTTGGATGATCCGGCGGGAAGGTTTTTTTCTAGGCCCCATTCCGGCTCACCGTCCTGATCCATCTGGCCTCGGTTCCCCAACAGGATGTCCAACGGGCGAGGCCACAGCCGGCTTTCCTGGTAGATTGGGGGGCCTGTCTCCACAATCCGCGCCCATCTCCAGAACAGGGGTTCACAGAGCGGAAATTCCCTCAGTGCTCCCTGGAGCCGAGCCTGACGGAGGCTTCATCGGAGCAAGATGTCCAGGTGGACCAGCGTCCCGTGCCTCCGGTTAGCGTAACCCAGACGGTGACACCGCTCTCCAACTGAGCTCGCCAGCATGTGTTCCAGACGGCCGCAGCGAACAACACGTTAATCTGTTGGCGTACACGTTCAGAGGCGGGAAGAGACGGTGGGCCCTCTGACCTTCGGCTCGCTCCGCTCTTG